CCCAGAGACAACCAGGATATATAAACTGATGTTTTTTGTTTTTGTTTTTTTTTTTGAGACGGAGTCTCGCTCTGTCGCCCAGGCTGGAGTGCAGTGGCCGGGATCTCAGCGCCACTCAAGTCCGCCTCCCGGGTTCACCCATTCTCCTGCCTCAGCTCTAGAGCTGGACACAGCGCCCACCTCGCCCCTATTTTTTTTTTTTGTATTTTTTAGTAAGACGGGGTTTCACCGTGTTAGCAGGATGGTCTCGAGATCTCTGACTCGTGATCCCCCTCGCTCCGCTCGCAAAGTGCTGATTACGGGCTGTGACCACCGCGCCCGGCCATTTTATTTTTATTTTTTGCCAGAGAGCAGATAAACAGCATAATTATTTGCCTGATAGTTTGTTCCTTTTTTCTTTTTTCTTTTTTTTTTTTTTGAGACAGGGTCTCGCTCTGTCCCCAGGCTGGAGTGCAGTGGCCGGATTCTCAGCTCACTGCAAGCTTCGCCCCCGGGGGTTTTGAGCCATTCTCCTGGCCTTCACCTCCCTTATGTAGCTGACACAGGCACCGCCACCTCGCCGTATTTTTGGTATTTTTAGTAGAGACGGGGTTTTGCCGTGTGTAGCCAGGATTGGCTCTCGATCTCTGGCTCCTGGTCTGGAATATTTGCTGAGTTCTGGGAAGCAAATACTCCCACCATAGCTAATGTCAAGGTACTGACCTGAGGCCACTGGACATGGGGTTGGGAGATGTGCCCTTCCTCCCACCACAGCTGCCCTCAGGCATACCCTAGTCTCCCCCCACAACAGCCCCATCTTAGCTACCCACTCAGAGCCAGTGTGGGGTCTCTCTCTCCCTCATCCCCACATACCCGTGTTCTGTCAGTTCTGCCTTCAAAGTGTCCTTCATCCGTCAGCTCACTTCCGTTCACCCTGCCGCCATCTTTCATCCGGGTCACGTTATCCCGTCTACAACGTCCTTCCGGATGTTCTCTCCACTCCTGCCCCGTCCACCCCGTAACAACCAGTGAGGGCTTCAAATAGACATTTTATGGCGCCACATTCCAATACATGTCACCTCCCAAGAGAGGCCTTTCTTGACAGCCCTCTCTCCAAACCTGGTTGGTTTTCTAAACAGCACTTAAAAATAAGGTCTTTGCTAACTTTTTTTTTTTTTCTTGAGACGGAGTCTTGCTCTGTCGCCGGGCTGGAGTGCAATGGTGCAATTTTGGCTCACTGCAACCTCCGCCTCCCGGCTTCAAGCAATTCTCCTGCCTCAGCCTCCTGAGTAGCTTGGACTACAGGTGTGCACCACCACGCCCCACTAATTTTTGTATTTTTAGTAGAAATGGGGTTTCACCATGTTGGCCAGGATGGTCTCGATCTCCTGACCTTGTGATCTGCCTGCCTCGGCCTCCCAAAGTGCTGGGGTTACAGGCGTGAGCCACCACACCCGGCCGATAACTTTGTTTTCTTTGAGACAGAGTCTCGTTCTGTCACCCAGGCTGGAGTGTGGTGGCATGATCTCGGCTCACTGCAACCTCTACACCACCCCCTGCCTCCGGTTCAAGTGATTCTCCTTTCTCAGCCTCCTGAGTAGCTGAAACTACAGGTGTACACCACCATGCCCTGCTAATTTTTGTATTTTTAGGAGAGAGAGGGTTTCAATAGTTGCCCAGGCTGGTCTCAAACTTCTGGGCTCAAGTGATCCAACTGTCTTGGCCTCCCAAAGTGTTGGGATTGCAGACCTGAGCCACCATGCCCAGCCAGAAGTTGCATTCTTTTTTTTGTTGTTGTTGTTGTTGTTAAGAGACATGGTGTTGCTCTGTTGCCCAGAACAAGAATTATACATTCCATATACTATTATATATTTGACAAAATTGGGATCATACTGTGTATAAAGTTTTGTAATCTACTTCTAAATTTTATATTTTACTGTATGCTTTACTACATATCCTTATTTGTTTAAAGAATGGATTTTTTTAATACCTGCATAATACTTCTAAGATATGTTGTGTTGTGACTCATTGAATCAGTTTCCTGATAACGGACATTTGGACTCTTTTGGGATTTCTTCTGCTATAACGACTTTTTGTATTGTTTCCTATTATGTAATCTAAAGGCTTTTCTTCTAATTTTTACAGTAAGAGTCCAGTGGATATCTTGCAGATATTTAGATTTGGCATAGTGAATGAAACCACAGAGTTTTTGAGCAGACTTGGCAATGTGAGGCCCTTGTTGCATGGTTCTCCTGTACGAAACATCGTAGGAATCTTGTGTCGGTAAGAGTAGCCATCTTTATTTTTCAAAAATTTCAGCCTCACAAACGTAAAGTGTTTTACTTTTTTTTTTTTTCCTACTTTTTTTCTATATTACATGGGTCTTTTCAGTTAAAATCAGCTAGCTTACTGCATTCTGGAGAGAATTGCACAGTTTATAGTGAAGTGTGTGATGTAAATTACATATTTATGGCTGGGCATGGTGGGTCACACCTGTAATCCTAGCACTTTGGGAGGCTGAGGCAAAAGAATCACTTGAGGCCAGGGGTTCAAGACCAACCTGGAAAACCAGCAAGACCTCATCTCTATTTTGAAAAATTATGTATTTATTATTTTTAGAATGTAGTACATAGGTATGAATTGCTTCTTGCAGACTGTATCATAAGAAGAAAAGTGATTCTATATTCATGACTCTTCCGTGTGTATCTAATCTAGGGATAGCCCAATATTTAAAGAGAAGAGTCCAGGAATTAGAGTGCGCACCAGACAACATGAGCTGTTTATTTGAAACATAACTCTAAGATTCTGTTTGTTTTGAATTACTACTTAATATTAGGGTTGAAACAAGTCATAGGAGCAGGAGAAAATATTATTAAATGTAGATCCATTAATTATTCAGAAGAAACTTAAAAAGAAACATACAAGATCTACCTGGGGAAAAAAAAGAAAAAACAAAAACCCATTAAACTTCTACTGAGGGACCCAAAAGACAACTTGCGTTAATCAGAAGGATGCCAGTTTTTCTTGGATTCATCTATAGGTTTAGTGCTATCATGATAAAATTACCAATAAGATTTTTTTAAAGAAGTGAAAAGCTGATTCTGCAACACATATTTTTTTTAATTTTGAAATTACCAGAATAATCCTGGAAAAGAAGCATAATGAAGGTGACATTAATATTAAACACAAGTGAACTCAAAAACACAGAAGATTTAGGATATGATACAAATAGATCTTATCTCTGTGGAAGAAAGACAAGTTCTTCAATACTATCTATAGAGATAAATGGGTAACCACAAGGAAAAAATATAAAGTTGGACCCTTCCCTCATTTCTCATACTTAAGCTCCAGATAGAGCAAATATTTACATATTTGAAATCAAACCATAAAAGTATACTAAATGAAAAATGGGAGAATCTTTTAAAAATAATCTTTAAGTAGGTATGAACTTTTTTTTTTTTTTTTTTTTTGAGATGGAGTCTTGCTCTGTCGCCCAGGCTGGAGTGCAGTGGCCGGATCTCAGCTCACTGCAAGCTCCGCCTCCCGGGTTCCTGCCATTCTCCTGCCTCAGCCTCCTGAGAAGCTGGGACCACAGGCGCCGCCACCTCGCCCGGCTAATTTTTTGTATTTTTTAGTAGAGACGGGGTTTCACCGTGTTAGCCAGGATGGTCTCGATCTCCTGACCTCGTGATCCGCCCGTCTCGGCCTCCCAAAGTGCTGGGATTACAGGCTTGAACCACCGCGCCCGGCCGGTATGAACTTTTTAAGTAGGACCAAAACCCAAAAGCTGTTTTACAAAATTCATTCAATCTCCTAATATGAAATTCAAACAAGACGGGCGTGGTGGCTCACGCCTGTAGTCCCAGCACTGTGGGGGGCCGAGGTGGGCGGATCACAAGGTTGGGAGATCTGGCTAACACGGTGAAACCCCGTCTCTACTAAAAATACCAAAAATTAGCCGGGCGAGGTGGCGGACGCCTGTAGTCCCAACTACTCGGGAGGCTGAGGCAGGATAATGTTGTGAACCCGGGAGGCGGAGCTTGCAGTGAGCTGAGATCGCATCACTGCACTCCTGCCTGGACGACACAGCGAGACTCCGTCTCAAAAAAAAAAAGAAATTCAAACAATAGATATTTATATAATAAAAGGCAGAAATCTCCCTTTACTTGTGTTCCTAGAAACAACTATGGTTTCACCCTGATTGCAGAGTTCTCGGAATGCCACAAGTTCAGTAGGAACCTGCCAAAGTTCTGAGCGAGGCAGAGATGCAATCAGCGTTGGGCTTACACCTTATCCTGCCCTTCTCTTTTCAGAGGGTTGCTTTTACCCAAAGCAGTGGAAGATCGTGGTGTGCAAAGAACAGACATCGGAAACCTTGGAAGTGGGATTTATTTCAGTGATTCGCTCAGGTATGTTTGATCCTTAATCACAGACTCGTTACTACTTACTGTGTGTTTTCTTCTGTCTTTCCTTGGTAAGGGAGTTTCTCAACCAAAACACAGATTTATCAATTATATATGACCTCAGTATGCCTAGAATCCTATTTCATCTTCAACATCCTTGATAATGTTTAAATCTGCCTTTGGGTCAGACATGGTGGCTCACGCCTGTAATCCCAGCACTTTGGGAAGCCAGGGCAGGAGGATCACTTGAGGTCAGGAGTTTAAAACCAGTCTAGGCAACATAGCGAGACCCGATCTCTACACAAAATTTAAAAAATTAGCTGTGCATGGTGGCGCTAATAGAACCTATAGTTCTAGCTACTGGGGAGGCTGAGGCAGGAGGATCACTTGAGTCCAGGAGTTCAAGGCTGGAATGAGCTATGATTATGCCACTGCAGTCCAGCGTGGGCAACACAGTGAGAAGAACTCCATGTACATCATCTGCCAACCTAATAATTGGTATTGTGACATCATTTCATGCGAGGAAACAGACTCAGGGAGGTCAGGGAACTTGCCTAAGGTTGCAGAGCTAATTAAAGGGTGGAGACTGAGTTCAGGCCCAGGACAAAGGATAATGATCCAAGATATTTAAAAGAATTCCTACAAATCAATAAGGAAAAGATAAGCAACCCTGTAAGCAGATGTGCAAAAGACTTGAATAGAAACTTAATAGCAAAGAAAACGAGCTGGGGCCAGGTGCAGTGGTTCATGCCTATAATCCCAGCACTTTGGGAGGCCAAGGCAGGTAGATCACTTGAGGCCAGGAGTTTGAGACCAGCCTGGCCGATGTGGCGAAACCCCATCTCTACTAAAAATACACAAATTAGCTGGGCGTGGTGGCGTGCACCTGTAGTCCCAGCTACTCGAGAGGGTGAGACAGGAGAATCGCTTGAACCCAGGAAGCAGCGATTGCAGTGAGCCAAGATCACACCACTGCACTCCAGCCTGGGTGACAGAGCAAGACTGTGTCTCAAAAAATGAGCTGAGTGCAGTGACACACACCTGTAGTGCCAGCTACTGAGGAGTTTGAGGCAGAAAGATTGCTCAACTCCAGGAGTTTGAGATTAGCCTGGGCAACACAGCAAGACCCCATCTCTAAAAAAACTTTTTAAAATTAGCCAGGCATTGTGTCATGCACCTGTAGTCCAAACTACTCAGGAGGCTGAGGCAGGAGGATTGCTTGAGCCCAGCAGTCCAAGGCCACAGAGAGATATGACTGAACCACTACCACCAGCTTGGGAGACAAAGTGAGACCCAGTCTCTCAAGACAAAAAAAAAAAAGGGAAAAGAAAAAGAGAGCACTGTAATAACAGAACACTGGAAATCATGCAGATGTCCATCGACGGTGGAATGGATCCGTACGTTTTGGTGGAGTCCCACATGAAGTCCTCTCCTGCAGTTTAAACAAGTGGACTGTGGCTACACCTGTCAAATGGATGAGCCTTAAGACCTTAGTGGAACAAACGTTACTAGATGATTCTGTATACAGGCATACCTTGGAGATATTGAGGGTTTGATTCCACACTACTGCAATATAGCAAATATTGCAATAAAGTGAGTCACACAGTTTTGGTTTCCCAATGAGTATAAAAGGTTTACACTCTAGTCTATTAAGTGTGCAATAGCATTGTGTTTAAAAAAAAAACGAATGTACATACCTTAATTTTAACATACTTTATTACTAAAAATGCTAATGATCATCTGAGCCTTCAGTGAGCCACTGTCTTTTTACTGGTGGACGGTCTTGTCTCAGTGTCGATGACTGCTGACTGATGAGGGTGGCGGTTGCTGAAAGTTGAGGTGGCCGTGGCAATTTCTTAAAACAAGACAATAATGAAGTTTGCCTCAGCAATTGACTCTTCCTTTCATGAAAGATTTCTCTGTAGTATGAGATGCTATTTGATAGCATTTACCTACAGTAGAACTTCCTTGAAAATTGGAGTCAGTTGTCTCAAACACTGCTGCTGCTTTATCCAGTAAGTTTATATAATATTCAAAATTCTTTGTTGTCAGTTCAACAGTGTTCACAACATCTTCACCAGAAATGGATTCCATCTTAAGAAACCACTTTCTTCACTCATTCATAAGAAGCAACCCCACATTCATTCAAGTTTGATTATGAGATTGCAGTAATTCAGTCCCATCTTCAGGCTCCAATTCTAATTCTAGTTCTCCTGCTGCTTCTGCCACATTCATAGTGACTTCCTCCACTGAAGTTTGAACCCCTCAAAGTCACCCAAGGTAGTTAGAGTAAACTTCTTCCAAATCCTTGTTAATACTGATATGCTGACCTCCTCTCATATCTCATCAAATGGTCTTAAGGGCAAGGAGAATAGCGAGTCCTTTTGAGAAGGTTTTCAATTAACTTTGTCCAGATCCATCGGAGGAATCACTGTCTATGGCAGCTATGGCCTTACAAAATGTATTTTTTTCTTTTTAGAGTTGGGGTCTTGCTCCATTATTGCCCAGGTGAGAGTACAGTAAGATGTAAACATAGCTCCCTGGAACCTCAAACTGCTGAACTCAAGTGATCATCCCACCTCAGACTCCTGGGATTACAGGCATACGTGGCCAACATGTATTTCTTTTCTCTTTTTTTTGAGATGGAGTTTGCTCTTGTTGCTCAGGCTGGAGTGCAATGGCATGATCTCGGCTCACTGCAACCTCTGCCTCCTGGGTTCAAGTGATTCTCCTGTCTCAGCCTCCTGAGTAGCTGGGATTACAGGTGCATGCCACCACGCCCGGCTAATTTTTGTATTTTTAGTAGAGACGGGGTTTCCTCATATTGGGCAGGCTGGTCTCGAACTCCTGACCTCAGGTGATCTGCCTGCCTTGGCCTCCCAAAGTGCTGGGATTATAGGCGTGAGCCACTCCGCCCAGCCCAAAATGTATTTCTTAAATAATAAGACTTCAAAGGTGAAATTACTCCTTGATCCATGGCTGCAGAATGGAAATTGTGTTAGCAGGCACGAAAACAACACGCTCCTTGTACCTCTCCCTCAGAGCTCTTGGATGACTAGGCGCTTTACCAGTGAGCAGTCATATTTTGAAAAGAACCTTTTCTGTTGAGCAGTAGATCTATATTGGGCTTAAAATTCAATAAGCCGTTCTGTAAACAGATGTGCCGTCATCCAAGTTTTGTTGTTCCATTCATACAGCACCGAAAGAGTAGATTCAGCACAATTCTTAAGGGCCCTGAGGTTTTTGGAATGGTAGGTGAGCACTGGCTTCAGCTTACAGTCACCAGCTGCATTAGCCCCTGACAAGAGTTATCCTGTCGTCTGAAGCCTTGAAGCCAGCCATTGACTCCTCTAGCTGTGGAAGTCCTAGATGGCATTTTCTTCCAATAGAAGGCTATTTTGTCTACATGGAAAATCTGTTGTTTAGTGAAGTCACCTGCATCAGTGATCTTAGCTAGATCTTCTGGAGAACTTGCTGCAGCTTCTACATCGGCTTTGACTGGTTCACCTTGCATTGTTATGTTATGGAGATGGCTTCTTTCCTTACACCTCAGACAACCTCTGCTAGCTTCAAGCCTTCCTTCTGTGGTTTCCTCGCCTCTCTGAGCCTTCATAGAATTGAACAGAGTTGGGGCCTTGCTCTGGATTAGGCTTTGGCTTAGGAGAATGCTGTGGCTGGTGTGATCTTCTATGCAGACCATTAGAATTTTCTTCACATCAGCAATAAGGCTGTTTTGCTTTCTTATCATTCCTATGTTCACTGGAGCAGCACTTTTAATTTCCTTCAAAAATTGTTTCTTTACATTCACCGCTTGGATAACTGTTTGCCACAAGAGGCCTAGCTTTCAGCCTGTCTTGGTTTTCAGCATGCCTTCCTCACCAAGCTTAATCATTTCTAGCTTTCGATTTACAGTGAAACATGTACAACCCTTTCTTTCACTTGAACACTTAGAGGCCACTGTAGGGTTATTATTAATTGGCCTAATTTCAATATTGTTGTGTCTCAGGGAATAGGGAGGCCAGAGAAGAAGGAGAGAGATGAGGAAACCAGTGGTCAGTGGAGTAGTCAGAACACACAAAACATTTACCAAGCTCGCCACCTTATGTGGGCACAGTTCGTTGTACCCAAAACAATTTCAATAGTAGCATCACAGATCATTGATCACATATCGCCATTACAACTATAATAAAAATGAAAAGGTTTGAAACATTGGGAGAATTACCAAAATGAGACACAGAGACACAAAAGAAGCACATGCTGTTAAAAAAAAAAAATGGCACCAGTAGACCTGCTCAACATGGAGTTGCCACAAATCTTCAATTTGTAAAAAAAAAAAAAAAAAAAAAAAAAATCTGCAAAGTGCAATAAAACGAGGTATGCCTGTATGTGCAAGGCTCGAAAACAAGCAGAAGTATACATTACATTGTTGAGAGACATAAATCTTTGCATTAATACTATAAAAGAAAATAGGCCAGACACAGTGCCTCCAGTCAGTAATCCTAACCCTTTGGGAGACCAAGGTGGAAGAATTGCTTGGGGCCAAGAGTTCAAGACCAGCCTGGGCAACACAGTGAGACCCCATAGCTACAAAAATGTTTTTAAAAATTAGCCAGGCACAGTGGTGCACACCAGTAGGCCCACCCTCAGGAGACTGAGGTGGGAGGATTGCCTGAGGCTGCAGAGAGCTGTGATTGTGCCACTGCACTCTGTGATTGCACCACTGCAGCTTGGGTAAAAGAGTGCAAGACCCTGTCTCAAAACACACACACACAAAGGAGAAAACTGTTATAAAAAGGAACACAGTAAAACCTCTCCAACCTACCCAGGATCCCCTCTGTGGCTCCTTATGGAATAAATTCCACATGGGAAAAAAAGAGAAAATAATATACACAAAAATCAAGATAGTGATCAAATGACCTCTGGGTGGGAGAGAAGGTGAGCTGTGAGTTGAGCCCAGGAGTTTGAGACTGCAGTGAGCTATGATCGTGCCGCTGCACTCTAGCCTGAGTAACAGAGCAAGATTCTGTCTAAAAATAGAAGAAATATTAAATAAATAAGTGCATAATAAAGTTCTAAATTGAGTCATTGGAGATATTTCAATAACAGGAAAATTTAGAACAGTTTACCAGGAAAGTCTTTTCAATAATATTTCCTGTTTATGCAATAATATGTTATTAACAAGTCACTGTAAGCTATAAATATGTGTTTATTTCCTTTCGCATTCAGTACAAGTATCAAGTACTCACACCCGGGAGAGACAGATGGCACCAGACTCCTGCTCATTTGTGACGTAGCCCTCGGAAAGTGTATGGACTTACACAAGAAGGACTTTTCCTTAACTGAAGCACCACCAGGCTACGACAGTGTGCATGGAGTTTCACAAACAGCCTCTGTCACCACAGACTTTGAGGTATTTTTATATTAAGGAACAAGCAAAGAGGGTCTTGAATGCTCTAAGAAGAGCCTCAGTTTTTTGCTCCTGTTTTCATTAAATATGCTTAAGTTTAAATAATTGTTAAATATTTACTGTATGAATTCAACATTTTCTAAATTAGCAAACATGCTTTTATGAAAACATCTGCCAATACAGGTTTTTTGTTACTATTGTTGTTAATCACCTACTGATTTCTGTTTGCTCTAGGATGATGAATTTGTTGTCTATAAAACCAATCAGGTTAAAATGAAATATATTATTAAATTTTCCATGCCTGGAGATCAAATAAAGGACTTTCATCCTACTAATCATACTGAATTAGAGGAATACAGACCTGAGTTTTCAGATTTTTCAAAGGTTGAAGGTAGGACAATTTTCTTGAATGCTGTTTTATGTTATTATGTTTATAGACCTCAAATGTTATATTTTCAATGGAATGTATATTTGCATTTGTTATATCTATGACCTCATCCATAAGTATTTCATAAGTCTCAAAATAAGTTTCCCACAAATTTCTCTCAGTGTTAACATCAGTCAAACTCCTCTGCCTAATATAAAAATAAAGCACTTAATTTTAAAATATATGTATTTCTTTTTTTTCTTTCCTTTTCTTTTTTTTTCTTTTTTTTTCTGAGACAAAGTCTCACTCTGTCCCCCAGGCTGGAGTACAGTGTGTGATCAAAGCGCACTGCAGCCTCAAACTCCTGAGTTCAAATGATCCTCCTGACTCAACCTCCCAAGTAGTTAAGACTACCATCCATGACTTTTGTTGTTGTTTTTTTTTAGAGACAAGGTCTCACTGTGTTGCCTGGGCTGGCCTGAAATTCCTGGCCTCAAGCGATCCTCCTGCCTTGGTATCCCAAAGTGCTGGGATTACAGATATGAGTCACCATGGCCAGCCTCATTTCCTTTTTTATCTTGTATACATGAAAACCAGGATGCTTGAGAAAGGTTAAGCGATCTCAAAATTCCATGTGACTTCATTAACACACTGAAGTTGAGCTTATTCCCTTCAGGAATAGCCAAGGCTAAAACCTGCGGAACCTTGCTAAGATGTCAAGGTGCAGAAAGTGTGATGGGGTGGGTAGAACACACAGCAGAGCCGCTGTGGAGTCAGGAAGCCCGGGGTTTCAGTGTGGCCCTGCCGCCCTGCAGTCTTGAAACTGCATGACCTTTTGCGGTCCACCTTCTCTCCGATGGGAATGAGAGCAGTACTCACATGACAGAATTGCTGTAAGGGCGGAAGGGGAAACTGGAGGCACTGAGTAAATTGTCATGTGTGGTGTATGTGTTAGCCGTAGTAGTGCCAGCATAAACAGGATATTCACTTCTCAGAGTATCATGAGCCCAAACAATTACAGTGTTAATTAGTAGGACTGTAAGAACACATTAACATTTTTGACCGTGCTCAAATTATTTGTTGTCAGAAACGCTTGTGTGTTCAGAGGTGGCTCCAGTTTTTTCTCTGGGAGTCATTAAGTGAAACATCTGGCAAGACACTATGTATTTTTATTTCCTAACCTTATCTGTGTTTGTACCACTTTAGAATAGGATGTGAACGTTTTTCAATATGCGCCGTAGGAGTTGATTCAGTCTTCCTTGGATTGAAAATCTACGTTGTTTCATGCCATCCCAAAATGCTCGTGTGGCACCATAAATAATAGTGACTGAGCCCTTCCACACTACAAGCCAGGGAATGCAGACACCTGGATTCAGGCTTCAGCCACACTTGAGACAGTCTGAAGACCTCTGTGTATTTGTGTGTATGTTTAAATGTATGTCAAGTAATGCTGTGTTTTCAATAGGACACCCCAAAGTCTCTACATTCAAAAGGCAGAAGAGCACATGCCTGTAGTCCCAGATACTTGAGAGGTGGAGGCAGGAGGATTACTTCAGCATAAGGGTTCAGAACCAGCCTGGGCACCATAGTGAGACTCCCATCTCTATCAAAAAAAAAAAAAGAAAAGAAGAAAAAACAATTTAAGCAGAAGGGTCTTTAAAAAAAAAAAAAAAGGCAGGCCATGTATGGTGGCTCACACCCACAGTCCCAGCACTTTGGGAGGTCAAGGCAGGCAGATCCCTTGAGTCCAGGAGTTTGAGACCAGCCTGGGCAACATGGCTAAACCTCATCTCTATAAAACATACCAAAAATTTAGCTGGGCATGGTGGTGCATGCCCGTAGTCCCAGCTACTCAAGAGGCTGAGATGGGAGGATCACCAGAGCCGGAGAGGATGAGTCTGCTGTGAGCAGAGATTGTGCCACTGCACTCCCACCTGGGTAACAGAGTGAGATGCTGTCTCAAAAAAAAAAAAAAAAAAAAGAAGGCACTTCCCATTTTTCTAATGTGGGTTCACTTGCTTTTCAGAATTGGCTATTGAAAATCATAAAATGCTGTTTGTCCAATTTCCCTAAAATATAATGCATGAAGGCATGGAGAAGGAATAAAGATCAAGACAACAAACATAGACAGGGATGGTTTTGAAAGCTAATGGTAACATTTTTAACGTTTAGATTACCAGTTACCAGATGCCAAAACTTCCAGCAGCACCAAGGCCGGCCTCCAGGACGCCTCTGGGAACTTGGTTCCTCTGGAGGATGTCAACATCAAGGGGAGAATCATAGACACTGTAGCCCAGGTATGTTTTCTGTGGCTTTATGACACTTAAACTACATGGATGTAAACCATACATGCGAATTTGATTGCAGTTGCATGAGCTAAAGGGAATAGATACATTTCTAAAATTCATTTATTCAAAAGCTATTCACTGAGCACTCCATGCCAGGGACTAGCTAGGCTCTGAGCATCCAGCAATGCACAGTACCAAAGCTCCGCCCTTGTGGAGCACACACTGTGGGGGGGAATAGGCAGTCACCATGATGAAAGAGTGAAACACATGACACGTTAGATGGTGACAGGTGCTGAAGAGAAAAATGAAAGCAGGAGGGGATAGGAGCTGTGAAAGACGGGGCCTTTGAACCTGTAAACAGAATGGCTGAGGAGGCCTCCCTGAGAAGGTGACACCTGCATACAGACCTGAAGGAAGTGGCGGCTAAACCATGTGGACATCGGAGGATGCTTATTCCAGGCAGCGGCAACATCACATGCCAAGGCTCTGAGGTGGGAAGGAGGAGGATCTGGTCCAGGCACGCCAAGGAGACGCACTGTGGCTGCAGTGGGGTGGAAAGGGGAGAGTGCATGAGGACTGAGTCAGAGAGGTGAGGGGCTCTCACATCAGCACACAGGTCATGCTGTCCTTGACTGTGAGTGAAATGGAAGCTTCTAGATGTTTGGCAGAGGAATGACATGAACAGACCTGTTTTAACTGGCTCACTCCGGCCACCATGTTAGGAACAGTAGGAAGAGGACCAGTGGGAGAAATATTAGGTCACGTTCCCTGGAAAGCAGACTCTGGATGGAATTTGTTTTCAGGAAGCCGGTGGGACTGTGCCTGCGGGAGCTGCACCTGTGAGGGAGTGAGGGAGGCAGGACGTGGCCAAGGAGACAACAGACTCCTCAGATGATCTTGGGGGAAGCTCTGGGCCAGAGTGGTCCTTGAGAGAAGGTCTGAATCAAGGCAAGGGGGCCGGGCTTTGTAGCCCCACTGGGGCCAGTCCTGGGATATAGGCTGCTCCAGGGAGGGGTCAGAACCTTGGCTAAGGCAGTTTGTCTTTGGCTGAGGATGGTTCCTGGGGAGACGCCGCACAGGTGACACTCCTAGCAGTCTCAGTCCTGAAGGGGACACAGCGGGCACAACGTCACATCACGTAGAGGAGATGATTGACAGAATTCAGTTAAGGGACCTGGTGATGTGGAGAATAATGTGTGCAGTGGGGGTGTAGGAAGTGATGGAGTCTGCCACGGCCTGAGGGAGACCCTGTCTCAAAACAAACAACCAACCAAAAAAACCAGGTTGTTGAAAGAGAAGGAACAAACCCTACCTTACTAAATTATCTGCACTAAAGCTCACAAAGAGCATTAAATACCAAGTGAGTAAGAACTGGTCAAAGCAAAAAGACAAGCATTGCAGGAGGGTTATTTAATGCAGGTGCTGGGGCCACAGCCAGGAGCTCGCAGCAGGTTCATCATCCACAGTCACAGGATGGAAGGCAGTGCCAGGGGTGCCAGGTGGCCAGATGCAGTGGTAGAGCTTTCTCTCGTGTCCCGTCCCCATCAGCAAATCTGACTGGCTCTGCCCTCCCGCCTTTTCCTGAATGAAGGAGTGATGAAAACAGTCTGTTGGAAAGATTAATTAGATAATACAGACAACAGAGAGGAGTAGAGAAGACTTGATTCTGGAACAACCAAGGCACAGAGAGATGAGGAGCTAGATGAGGGCTGTGTGGAGAGGGGGAAAGCCACAGAGATGTCCCCAGGAGGAAGTGCCAAGTCCTGAGAGCCGATAGGATAGAAGGACTATTCTGGAATCATTTCCAGCCAACATGGCACTAAGGGAGGCATCAAAGCCCACAACACGAAAGGGGCAATTTTCCAGCCATCTTAACAAGAGCTATATGGCCTGTGCTAAGTCAGTGTTGGTAGGACAGACTTCAGGTGGCTTCTGTTCCAGTCGGACATGTATGAACCACCTAACCGTGGGACTGGTGCCTTTTATCACATGACACTGGCTCTCCATTGCAGAAGTGAAGCCAGGGTTGGGAATTTGAGGGACGTGATACAAATTCAAGGAAATTCAAATAAATATGCAAAATCATTTTCATTCATCCTTGTTCCTGCACATGTAGTCCATGTGGTCTCATCAGATGTATGGCTTTTTTTTCTTCTTCAGGTCATTGTTTTTCAGACATACACAAATAAAAGTCATGTGCCCATTGAGGCAAAATACATCTTTCCTTTGGATGACAAGGCCGCTGTGTGTGGCTTCGAAGCCTTCATCAATGGGAAGCACATAGTTGGAGAGGTAAGGCGAGAAGATGCATTGTGCCCGCTGTCTGCTTTCAAAGTCAGCTTCCATTTCCCAGAACCTTTGTTTTCGGAGTCCCCATGGCTATAAGCTTGAGTAGCAGCCTTATCATAAAACAAGAATATTCTTTGAAGAACCAATTCTTGCACAGTGAGCCTCCCTCAAACATCCCTCCCTGATGAAGGATTTCTACCCCTGTCTGTCCAGTCTTTGTCGTCAGTGTCTTGCACATTCTTTGCCTTGGCACTGTAAGAGTGATTTCAGCATGAAAAGTTTAAGAGGGCTGGGTGCGGTGGCTCATGCTTGTAATCCCAGCACTTCGGGAGGCTGAGGCAGGCGGATCACTTGAGGTCAGGGGTTCGAGCTGAAATGAAAGCTATTATAACTTTCTAAAAAAAATAAACAACAGTTGATTAATTCTTTGTTTATTGTAAGGATTAGTGCACAGTTACAATTATAAACTACAATTTCCAAAATTTAGAGTAATTATGTTTTGTTTCACATAAACTCCCAACCAAAAAAAATTTTTTTCGCTATTGATTCTGAAATATTTTGATCACAACTGAAAGAGACTTCTCTTTAGTTGACCTTTCCTGGTTCAGGTTCTTATCAGATAAGTACATTTCGATGATCACTTTATTTACGTTTCCATTCATCTTAGACTCGGTTTTTAGTTTTTGCCTGAGTTTTAATAAACATTGATGTTGTTTTCTTCATTAAAGTCTGAAGTCACTCTTCATGTAAGGAATGATTGAAACATCATCTTTTCCAGATTAAAGAGAAGGAAGAAGCCCAGCGAGAGTACCGAGAAGCCGTGACCCAGGGCCATGGCGCTTACCTGATGAGTCAGGATGCTCCGGTATGGCTTGGTGTGCATGCCGTGTGCATACAGGAAAGGGAAAGAGACTTAGAACAGGATTTGAACTATGAAATTCATGCTAGAGGCTGAGATAATTTACACTGCTGTAGGCCCCAGAGTTTCACTTGCTCTAAGTAAGGGGAAGCCACGCCAGTCAGACCCATTTGACTTATCTGAACCAAGGAGGAAACGGCGTCAGTAATTCCAGACAAACAGGAAGAGCTAGGTCTGTCATTGGGAACCGAGTTTTCCAGACGGAATGACAGAGAAAACGATAGCATTTGAGGTATATAACTTTCATCTTCTGATAAGAGTGTGATACATTGGCTGGGCGCAATGGCTCACGCCTTAATCCCAGCACTTAGAGAGGCTGAGGTGGGCGGATCACCTGAGGGCAGGAATTCGAGACCAGCCTGGCCAACTTGGTGAAACCCCCTCTTACTAAAAATATAAAAATTAGCTGGGCGTGGTGGCAGGCACCTGTAGTCCCAGCTGCTGGAGAGGCTGCAGCAGGAGAATTGCTTGAACCCGGGGGGCAGAGGTTGCAGTGAGCCAAAATTGCACCATTGCACTCCAGCCTGGGCAACAAGAGCGAAACTCCGCCTCAAAAAAAAAGAAGGGTGTGATATATTTACAGTTTTCCTGGAAGTAAGCTCACCCAGCAGATGGTCCAGTCATAAAGCAGAGAGGCATTTCTGCCGGGTCCTGCTTGGGCCCAGTTCCTGTGCTTTTAGGTGATTCGCTTTAGCAGGGACGTGACCTGGACAGCGTGGAAGTGGGAACAGCTGGCAGGTCCACTGGACTACTTTCCTTGAATATCAGGTGTTTTCACGAGGCGTCTGGCAGGTGCTAGATTGCGTGTAGTCAGTGTCTAACTCTAGTGCAGGTATTTTAGTTCTTTTTGCAGATGGGGCCATATGTTTGAGTATCGCCTCCGAGGGTGACACGTGGCCATGGTGTTTTGAAAATTTAACATTTGCTGGGGCTAGGGGCACATTCAAGATTAATACAGATCGAAGGGGTAAATTATTGGTCTTGACATCTAAGATATCCACTTGCAGGATGGGAATAGGCAATGAAGAGGTGATTATTGAACAGTTAACAATGCTAGCTCTTGGCCGGGCGCGGTGGCTCAAGCCTGTAATCCCAGCACTTTGGGAGGCCAAGGCGGGTGGATCACGAGGTCAGGAGATCGAGACTATCCTGGCTAACATGGTGAAACCCCGTCTCTACTAAAAATACAAAAAAAAAAACTAGCCGGGCGTGGTGGCGGGCACCTGTAGTCTCAGCTACTTGGGAGGCTGAGGCAGGAGAATGGCGTGAACCCGGGAGGCGGAGCTTGCAGTGAGCTGAGATCACGCCACTGCACTCCAGCCTGGGAGCACAGCGAGACTCCGTCTCAAAAAAAAAAACAAAAAAAAAAAAAACAACAATGCTAGCTCTATATATGGCCAAACTGTGTGTATAGAAGCCCGGGGTTCATTTGAGAGGCTGCCACTTAATATCAGGGTGTCTTCCTATGTGAGTTGGTAAATGTTTCCTCCTAAATACTTACATATTTCCCTAGGAATATAGTCCACAAGAAAATAGTCTTCACAAGAGATATTACCTGTGGGTAAAGTCTGATCAGATCTATTGCTAACCCAAGCCTTCAGGTCTCCCAGAATGTGTTTGACATCTTGTGACTATAATGTTCTCATATCATAATATATGGTATTCATGTGTTGTTATATAAATACCATATATGCCAGGTGCATAACAATACCATGTGTTGTTATATAAATACCTATAATCCCAGCACTTTGGGAGGCCAAAGCGGGAGGATCACTTGAGCCCAGGAGTTTGAGGCTGCAGTGAGCTGTGATAACACCACTACACACCAACCTGGGCAACAGAGTAAGATCCTGTCTCTAAACAAACAAATCTTAGCTTAGGAATCCCTCCATCTAAGCTTTTCCTGCCTTCCCCCAGGAAAGACCCGTGGTTTCATTTTCCCATGGCCACCTGGACATATTTGTTTTATAACTCTTAATATACTGTTTGTAAAGATAGAGGTCTAGCTTGTAATCCCCAATATTTAAGTGTGGAAGTAACGGAAAAGGATAGTTAATGGTAAAATAAAGAAAATTGTGGTGCTGAAACCAAGGATGAAGACATTGCCAGCCTAGGACGACTTGGGTCCTCCTCGTTGCCAGATTAAATGGCAATGTGTCCAAGACTTCAATTTATGTGACCATTTGATGATTTTCTCCTTTTCAAAACATCTAGACTGACTTGTCACCATAACCCTATAGTATTTAGATAGCATACTGTTGAATTTTGCTGCTTTATCTAATCTGATAGTTTCTGCGAGACTCCGTCTCAAAAAAAAAAAAAAAAACAACAATGCTAGCTCTATATATGGCCAAACTGTGTGTATAGAAGCCCGGGGTTCATTTGAGAGGCTGCCACTTAATATCAGGGTGTCTTCCTACGTGAGTTGGTAAATGTTTCCTCCTAAATACTTACATATTTCCCTAGGAATATAGTCCACAAGAAAATAGTCTTCACAAGAGATATTACCTGTGGGTAAAGTCTGATCAGATCTATTGCTAACCCAAGCCTTCAGGTCTCCCAGAATGTGTTTGACATCTTGTGACTATAATGATCTCATATCATAATATATGGTATTCATGTGTTGTTATATAAATACCATATATGCCAGGTGCATAACAATACCATGTGTTGTTATATAAATACCTATAATCCCAGCACTTTGGGAGGCCAAAGCGGGAGGATCACTTGAGCCCAGGAGTTTGAGGCTGCAGTGAGCTGTGATAACACCACTACACACCAACCTGGGCAACAGAGTAAGATCCTGTCTCTAAACAAACAAATCTTAGCTTAGGAATCCCTCCATCTAAGCTTTTCCTGCCTTCCCCCAGGAAAGACCCGTGGTTTCATTTTCCCATGGCCACCTGGACATATTTGTTTTATAACTCTTAATATACTGTTTGTAAAGATAGAGGTCTAGCTTGTAATCCCCAATATTTAAGTGTGGAAGTAACGGAAAAGGATAGTTAATGGTAAAATAAAGAAAATTGTGGTGCTGAAACCAAGGATGAAGACATTGCCAGCCTAGGACGACTTGGGTCCTCCTCGTTGCCAGATTAAATGGCAATGTGTCCAAGACTTCAATTTATGTGACCATTTGATGATTTTCTCCTTTTCAAAACATCTAGACTGACTTGTCACCATAACCCTATAGTATTTAGATAGCATACTGTTGAATTTTGCTGCTTTATCCAATCTGATAGTTTCTGCACTTTGTATTGTTTAGGTCATTTTTATTTAATACAATTACTGGTCTGGTTGGAGTTATATCCACCATCTTGCTAGTTGTTTTCTATTTGTACCATTTGTTCTTTGTTCCTTTCCCTCTCTTTTCCTGCTTTCTCTTGTATTGTTTTTTAAATGATTCCATTGTATCTCCATTATTGGCTTATTCTATCTTTTATTTATTTATTTATTTATTTATTTATTTATTTATTTATTTTTTGAGGCAGAGTCTCACTCTCACCCAGGCTGGAGTGCAGTGGCGTGATTTTGGCTCACTGCAACCTCTGCCTCCCAGTTTGAGCGATTCTCCTGCCCCAGCCTCCCAAGTAGCTGGGACTACAGGCACACAAGACACCCAGCTAATTTTTGTGTTTTTAGTAGAGATAGGCTTTCACCATGTTGGCCAGGCTGGTCTCAAACCCCTAACCTCAAGTGATCCCCCTGCCTCTGCCTCCCAAAGTGCTGGGATTACAGACGTGAGCCACGGTGCCCGGCCAGTTATGTCTCTCTTAAAAAGTTTTGATTGTTGGCCAGGTGTGGTTGCTCATGCCTGTAATCCCAACACTTTGGGAGGCTGAGATAGATAGATCACTTGAGCCCAGGAGTTCAAGACCAGCTTGGGTGACATGGTGAAACCCCAAATCTACAAAAAATACAAAAATTAGCTGGGTGTGGTGATGCATGCCTGTAGTCCCAGCTACTTAAGGGGCTGAGGTGGGAGGATTACTTAAGCCCGAGAAGTCGAGGCCACAATGACCCATAATGGCGCCACTGCACAGCCTGGGCAACAAAGTGAGACCCTGTCCCAAAAAATAAAAAAATTAAAGTTTTGATTGTTGCTCTAAAGCCACATGTTAAATATATGTTAAATATGGTAGCCACTTATTATATGTGGATATTTACATTTAAATATAAAATAAAATGTTTCATGTGGCCAGTGGCTATCTTATAATAACTTAGTGCATAGATAGACCATTTTTATCATCATAGAAAGTTACATTGGTCAGCACTGCTTTAGGGTTTACTACTATATACATTTTTAACTTACCGCATACAGCCTATATTATACTACTACATACGTAAGAACCTTACAACCAGAATACATTACATTACAACCAGTATACGTTCATTTTTTTCCCATATCCTTTGTGATATTGTTGTCATGTACTTTATTTCTTCATATATTGTAAATCCTACAATGTGTTGTTATATATTCAACTGTTCTTTTTTTTTAAGTTGTGGGATACATGTGCAGGACATGCAGGTTTGTTACATAGGTAAACGTGTGCCATGGAGGTTTGCTGCACCTGTCAACCCCTCACCCAGGTATTAAGCGCCACATGCATTAGCTGTTTATCCTGATGCTCTCCCTCCCCCAGCCCCCCAACAGGCCCCAGTGTGTGTTCTTCCCCTCCCTGTGTCCATGTGTTCTCATTGTTCAGCTCCCACTTATAAGTAAGAACATCCTGCGTTTAGTTTTCTGTTCCTGTGTTAGTTTGTGAGGATAATGGCTTCCAGTTTCATCCATGTTCCTGCAAAGGACATGGTCTCATTCCTTTTTATGGCTGCATGGTATTCCATGGTACATATGTACCACATTTGCTTTATCCAGTCTATCATTGATGGGCATTTGGGTTGATTCCATGTCTTTGCTATTGTGAATAGTGCTGCAACGAATATAC